GAAGTGCAGTGGTGCAATCTCGGCTCAGTGCAACCTCCTCCACCTGGGCTCAGGCAATTCTCCTGCCTCAGCCTCCTGAGTAGCTGGGATTACAGGCACGTGCCACCATACCCAGTTAACATTTTGTATTTTTAGTAGAGATGGGGTTTCACCATGTTGACCAGCATGGTCTCGATCTCTTGACCTCGTGATCCACCCGCCTCAGCTTCCCAAAGTGCTGGGATTACAGGTGTGAACCAGCGTGCCCGGCCCCACCCCAACCTTTTATTATGCAGGTGGGTAGCTACTCCATGTTGCTTCTTTCTTTCTTACTATACACATACTAACAAAAAGGGAAGGTGGAGCCCCCAAGGTGAACATGCCTGGCATCTTTCTACTAGTCCAGCTGTCAGCATCCCACTGTGCAAGCTCTCAGCTTCCTTCTTTTTGTTTGCAGCTCGATCTTTCAGGCTGCTGTTTATTAGAAAATAAGTGATTTCTTAGGCTGCTTTTTGTTAGAAGGAAAGTTATGCCAAAGACTCTTTTGCTTTCACTACCTGCCTAAGATAATTTCTTTTTATCTCCTGTATCATATTTGGAGAAATAATTGCCAAGAAACATTTAAAACCAATCAGAGCTTCAAAGCCTCAGGTAAAGGAAGTTCAGATATTATCCAATGTGATAAATATTGAACAACAAATCCTATCTGGACATTCTATATTTAAGCTGCAGAAAAGACGAAGCAAAATCTTGATCAAGGTCAGAGGAAAGTAAAATATGTATTGTAGAGAAGTAATTCCCAGAATCACGGTGGAATTTTTGTCAGAAACATTTCAGGCAATAAGAGAAAGAAGAATATAAAATGAAATGCTTAAATGAATGAAAGAAAAACATACCAATCTGGAATTCTGTATCTGGCAAAATTATTATTCAAAAGTGAAGGAGATCAGAGTTTCAGATTTACACACAGAAAAAGAAGACCATCAGAAAAGGCATAAACGCAAGTCAATTGAATTTTGAAAATTTTGATTCTGAATTGATTTAAAAGATAACTTTCTTTTAAAGTAATAATAGTGATAATGTATTCAGTCATTATAGTATATAAATACAAAAAATGAATGACACAGATGTTCCAGGAAAAAGATGGAGGAATAGGGAATCCTCTGTTATACAATATCTGT